CCCCCCTCCCGGGCCCCGAATGGACCACAGAGGCTACCTGCCGTTCTGGCCTCCACTCACCTCACTACGGACTGCTGGCTGATGGCTGCGCAGCATCCAAGGCGCCCACAATCCAACGGGCAGAGCCGGCTCAACAGTTTTGAACCGCCTTGCAGGAATTCCAGGTCAATCACTGCACAACACCCTCCAAATCCACTTGGGGTCTACACCAACTTGGAGTGACAGGAACAACAAATGCACTCGTATTTTTGCACGCAAACCACACACTGCTCCTCAGGACGTGAAATCCACAACTAAAACACTCACTTCACACGCGCACACACACACACACGCACATCCACCCGCGGCCGTCAAACCGGGGAGGCACAAAAGGCACAAGTTTTGGAGCCACAGGTGCGAAGCCGCGGCGGCGACCGGCGAGGCGCCTTCGTCGAGAAGGGCTGGTTCACGACTGGACTGGCTCGAGCGAGCCGAGCCGAGCCGAGAGTCGACGACTTTCAAGTCAGGCGGGCAAACAACCGGTCCGCGCCGAGCCGAGCCGCGACGACCGACGAGTTGCGTCCAAAGACGGCCGAGCGGGGCGGGCCAAAGAGGAGGTGAAGCAGGGGGGATGACGGGGGGCGCGGGGGGCGTTGTTGGGCCCCAGGTGGAGTGGAGCTCGCCTACCTGGCGCGCCATCATTGTCTCCGGGAGCCACGAGCCACTGTTACACCTGTGCCAACTAAACTTCCTACAACGAATTTAATGCGAAAAACAGAAATTTTTGAGCACCAAAATTGAAGTGTACACGTACAGTACCACATAGTACACACATAGTACATGTACTTACACCTAGCCAAATTTTTCACAAAAAAGAAGCAGGGGCCGCGGACATACCCCACACTCTGCTCACTAGTGACCATAGTGACCTGGCGTATCGTCGTCCATGGCCCTTGGTCCACACTCACTACCATTGCAACTACAATACAAATAGCGATACAGTTGGATACAGCAGCGGCATCCGCGATAATGTGGTAATTTCGAAATAATACTGTAAATTGAACTGTCTCGTTCAATCATTCCTACTCGTGATTGGAAGAAGATGGCTATTTTAGTTGCCTTTAAGGAAACCAATTGAACATAACCTATCATTAACAACTAGGTATTGTCAACAGAAATTATGTAGTTTGACTGTTCATTGATTTTTCAGATTGGTTCGCTCATGACCTCCAAACGCCGGCGAATCGGCAGACTCGAAAAAAGGCACAAAAGAAAACCACAGTGTGCTGCTCGCGCAGTGTCAAGAAGCGACATGGACGATGAATCAACATCCACCACATCCTCTTCAATTTTCAGTTACCAGGTATATAATAGTATATAGTTTGAATGAACTCTATACTGAAGCGTTTGTCCTCGAAGATGCTCTCTCTCTCTCTCTCTCTCTCTCTCTTAGTAGGCGATAGAAATGGTAGATGTCTTCATCTTCTCAAGTCAGAACGTTAAGATCTTCATTCTTACTATCTGTTCTGTGTGAATATAAACAACAAAAGTACATTCAGTTTCTTTATCATACAGTCTATAAAACTACCAACGTTAGTACCAGCAACTTCAAGCTTTGACTCTTCAAACAATAGAGAAAACGTGATGTTGGTACCAATAGAGGAAGTTATAATTAAACAAGAAGATTGTCAAGAATTCAAGTATGAAGTTGAGGAAGAGTCAATGGAAGTGCCCGAGGTCGAAAGTAATCTTTCATTGGAAATACCACAACAATACGAAAACCCAGTAAAACCTTTACCACCACTCAGAGCCAAACGAGTCGTACCGCCACTCACCTCCAACCGAGTCTTACCACCAAAACGTCATAAAGCCATTCAAGTTGGCCAACCATTTTTTGAATCTCTAAATTTGAAGAAAAGCCACGACATCTTACAGTTTTGCCAAGCTAGCCTTATTAATACTGATGAAGATGAAATGCCAGTGGATCAAAATGATGAGTGTACCAATACCAATGCACAAAGTAGTAGGCCAAGGAGGAGTCAACGGCAGACACAGGTGAGTCTCCTCTTTTGCTTTATTTTGTGTTTGAGTATGAAATGCACAAATAACAGGCTCAACTTTTAAAATAAAGTACTTTTATTCATAAGACAGTTCTCTGCCAGTTTACAAGTTTACAAAATGTCAAAGTAGTTACTTAGCATCTTCAGTCCCTGTATTGCTTACTCTTACTTTTATGAAGGCTTTTCCTGGGAGGAGAAAAGGATGGTGATCTGTTTTTTCGATGCTGTGAAGGTGATTGATGCCTTGAATCATGCTGTCTTTTGGCTCTGCCATCTTTTTCATAATAATCCTTGCTATAGTTCCTTTCCTTCCTTGAGTAATCATCTTTGACATCATTTTCCCTAGGGATCACTTCTGCTTTAAAATCTGTAAATACAAGTATTATGAAAGTGATTTTGAAAGGAGATTGGTATTAATTTTTCTGCAGTATTTTACTTACCTTTTTTATTAGTTGTTTTGCTTGATGAAGCCGGAGGTGCCAAGTCCATCTCATCATATTCATTAGGGGAAATGTAATTCTCTCTCCTGCTCTTGGATGGTGAGGATTGAGATTTTGATAGACGGGAGTTGCTTTTGTCATACTTGTCTTTCTGATTAGATGACCTTTCTGTGTTTTCTTGTTTTTTCTTTGAATTTTCAGCTTCCTTGTTTTCTTTACCTCTCCTTTCATACTTGTCTTCTCTATCTTTCCTGCCATCCCGCTCTTCTCTATCTTTCCTGCCATCCCGCTCTTCTCTATCTTTCCTGCCATCCCGCTCTTCTCTATCTTTCCTGCCATCTCGCTCTTCTCTATCTTTCCTGCCATCTCGCTCTTCTCTATCTCTTCTGCCATCCCGTTCTCCTCTATCTTTCCTGGCGTCCTGTTCTCCTCTATCTTTCCTAACATTCCACTCTTCCGTATCTTTCTTACTGTCCCGGTTTGTTCTTCCCTTTCTATCGTCTTGGGCATCCCTGTCCTTCCTGCTATCCCTCCTACCATACTGTTCTTCCCTTCCTTTCCTACCTTCCTTATCTGCCTTCTCTCTTCTCCCATCCCTCTCAACCATTCCTTCTTCAATATCATACGCATCAATTTGCCTTCTGCTATTGTTTTTATCACCAACTCTTCTGTTTTCTCTGTCATCTGGGTCTCCCCTAGTACTAACTGTTCTCTTTTCGTCTTTGTCCTTTATTCCTTTTCTATCCTCGCCTTTATCCATTTCTCCATCACTCCTCTTGCTTTTTGCTTGTTTATCAAACTTCTTTCCTTTGAATTCATTATTTGTACTGTAATGTAACTCTTGTGATTTTTCATTCATAATTTTTCCATTTGCTGTCTCTGAACTTTTCTTCTGATTGATTCTCTTTTTGGAGGTGCTAGTTTTCTCGTCTTCTGAGTCAGAACTACTTTCACTACTGCTACTAGAACTGCTACTGCTGCTGCTGCTAGAACTACTTGACGAACTACTTGAACTGCTACTACTTGAGTCGCTTGAGTCAGAATCATTGTCTAGATTATCAGGCCCTTCATTCTTCTTATTTTTGGTACTGGTGACCGGTGTTATTCCCCTGTAACAAATTAGCTTAAATGAAGGACTGTAAATTTGGAATATCTGTGGAAAGTATCTCAAACTGATAATAGCATACAGACTGGTAACGGTTTAGTTTACAACATAGACAATAGAAATGATACTCACAATGCACGCATCTTTGCCTGTTCCTCTCTCATCTTGAGTCTCTTGTTAAGCTGAACTGTGCGTGAGGACCGGTGCACATATTTTCTTTTATTGTTGCATTCGTAAGTCCAATGGCCATATTCCAAACATTTCTGACATCTTACTCCTTGAGGATAAGGGTTGCTGAAAGTTACACCAAATAGCAAATTAGAAGACATGAAAATTGAGACATTCAGAAAATACTACGAGAATTTGAAGAAAGAAAGTATTCTAACGAGTTGCTTGTTTTAAAGATCTTCTCTAAAATACATTGCTTCGGCTATAAAATAAGTAAACGCAACAAAATTCAAACTAGGAACAGATTTGTTTTGACTTACTCTTTCTGACCAATTAAGCCCGACACAGCACCTTTTGCCATAGAAAGCATGCTTGTGAAAAGTCGGATAACGTTCAAAGTAGAGGGGAAAAGCGAAAAAAAAAAGGCCCAAATGAGATGAGATGATGGCAACGTACAATTAACCTCTAAAAGTTACGAACTAAAATCCGAGCGTATGTAAGCCAAACATCAGCGCCTTCTAAGCACGGGGGGATGGGGGGGGGGGGGGTCGTTGCCGTTGCCAACTGTTCCAAAATGCATCAACATCGTGAGGATCAAAGTCAATCTGTAAATAGTTAATTAACCCGAGCATAAATTTCACTGAAAATTATACACTTAACTGGATTTAAATTCAAATTGTATTTTCAGTTCAATCTAATTCTAAATTATGAAATGAGTTTACTAATTGTGGTATGTGTTATGGTACACCTGTACTCACTTATTGTGGGAAATTTGAGCAGTTAATGTTAATGTTAATCGAAGTCTACTATCAAAACTCTCCCTCTAAGTCTAAGTTTACTCAAGAGCCTCAGGAGGTTTAGTGTTTTATTGTTTATAAATATAACGAATAATTTATAGATGACTAGATAAGTCAGAAATAAATTACTACTTTCTTATTTTGCAGAAAATTGCAATGGTTGCAATGAAAGAGGTTGCTGTAGAATATGTTTGCCGTCTTTGTGAAGAAAAGTCTTACAGCAAGCTTGTGAAAATATTTGGCACCCAGGGAAAGCAATTAAAATTAGCAGATAAAATTCATTTTCATTTACCAGTAAAGGTACGATCAATTTTCAAAATTTCTTTGCAATATTTTAGTGATTCTTTACCATCTTAAGAGTATTATTTTTTTGTAAATCTAGGTAAGAGCAAATGATAAACTTCCCCTTGGACTTTGTCTCTCCTGTGTGCAAGCCTTAAAAGTCTGTGATGAAATATATCAGAAAAGCCTGACTGCAGATAGTCATCTGCGTAAGATTTTTCTTGAAGAAGACCCAAATAAGGTAATACTTGTTTTATTAACCATATTAAATCTTAAAATTGTATCCCTTAATTTGTCTTTTTAATTCTGATTGACTCTTTTCATGTAGCCCCCTGTTTTGTCTGATCAAAAGAAAGTTTCAAAGGTTGCACCAATAATTAAACCTAAGAATACAAAAGAGCTCTCAACCATTGGATCGGAAGAAAACAAGGAGGCTTCAACTACTGATAAAATGGTAATGTACAATCAATTTGAAATATTTAATACTCATTTTGCACTGTACTATTACTATTGTGCTTTATTTAAATTACAAATTAATGACTGTTTCACTAATAATCTTGCATTTCATGCATGGTTACCTCTTACCTTATCTTCCTTTTCCTCAGAATACTGATGCCAGCCGGAAAGAAGCAGATGAACAATTGGATAGGGATAATTGTCCAGTTGATAGTCAAAACTCAGATTCTTCTGCTTCTACTGATGAGGAAGATGAAGGGGATGAGGTTGATGAGGATGATGATGATGAAGAAGCAGACAAGAATGATGATGGTGGTGGTGATGATGATGATGACGATGAGAGTGAAGATGACAGTGAGGATGAGAGTGAGAGTGATATTGAGGATGATGTTGACAACAGTAATCAAGACAATAATGAGAATAAAGAAAAAAGAGTTTTTAATATGTTATGCTACATTTGTCAAGATATACTTCATGGCAAAGAAGCTCTTCTTGCACATAGGTAAATATGATAGTTAGACACAAACTCAAATGGTTCATACAATAACGTTTTTACTCACTTTTTTATTCATATGTAGAAACACTCATTCTGGAGAGGAGAAGGGTCTGAAATGCCTGGTCTGTGAAGAGCATATGCCTGATGATGACAGCTATTTGCGTCACCACAACTTGCATGGAGGGTATCCTTGTATGAGATGTGGGAAGATAATGAAAAGCAAACATAGTTTACGACAGCATGTTGAAAGACACATCAGCCCTACTGTTTATTGTGAAGTTTGTGGGAAGTCTGTTGCTTCAGTGTAAGAAATATTTCCTTGATTAAGAATTAATTTTTGGGGGTTTGTATTGTTACTGTACTATTACTTTCTTTGCAGGTACAAACTCAAGTATCACATGATCACACATACTGATGAAAGACCTTATGCTTGCACAAAATGTGATTTGAAGTTCAAGACACAAGGAACTCTTCGTCAACACTCAGCAATACATAGTGATAAGCCATCTCATATCTGTGATATTTGTGGACAAGCTTATCATCGTCAAAGTCATCTAAGGCAGCACTTAGACATGCACAAAAGGGGACAAATTATGTAAGTGTTTTTTTTATTAGTCCTTTTTAATGTTGGTGAAGAGTGAATATTTCTGTTACTCACAAGTTTTATTCTTTCCAGGCCAAATTACTTTAAAATAACATGTAATTTGTGTGATCTAAAGTTCAAATTTGAACACCATTTATTTAGACACAAGATAGCTGCTCATAGTTTACAGCCAACTGAGGAAGACAAGCAGAAATATTCTTATTTGTTCAGAGGGCCTCCTGATGATAGCAACAGTACATTGTGCCATGAATGTGGGGAAGACCTTGTGACAAAAGAAGCATTAAAATCACATAGAAAATCGGTTCATGGACTGTCATATCCATGTGGGTATTGTGAACGAGTATTAAAGAGCAGGCGTGCGTTTGAGTATCATGTCAGAGGACACACAGGAGAGCGGCCATTTGTTTGTCAAGAATGTGGTGAAGGTTTCAGGTCAGAAACAGAGTTGGGTTATCATGAAAATAAGCACAAAGGTGTGAGACCTCACAAATGCCAGTTCTGTGACAAAAGTTTTCAAAGAGTCACTACGCTATACCAACACAGATTGATTCATACAGCAGAAAAGAAACATGCGTGTACATATTGCCCTTACAAGACACATCGCCCTGCAGCTCTCAAGGTTCACCTTAGAGTGCATACTGGGGAAAAACCATTTAAATGCAAAGAATGTGGAAAAGCTTACAAGTATTCCACAGACTTTTCAGCTCACATGGCTATGCATACTGGTGAAGCTCGTCCTCGCAGGGCTAGGCCAAAGCAGAAAAATAATGTAGAATTGGAACTTGCTACAGTATCCGAACCATTAGATATGCCCTCTTTAATGTCTCTTTAATGCACTCTAGAATAAAACTGCATGCACTCTATTTTTTTAATTCTTAAGAATTGTACCTATTCATATACCTGCAATTATTTTATCTCATGCCTTTTCTCTCGAATTAAGTAAGCTTCTGGGTTTGTGTTTATTTAATTCATGATCTCAATCTCATTCAGTTGCTCTGTAGGTGACAATTTGACAAGTATTTTTCTTAAGTATGAGTAAATATACTCAAAACATTGTTAGATTGTTGTACTATGTTTATTAATTCAATATCCTTTCTTCTGAAATCTCAGTGAAATGAGTGTTTAAGAGCATTCAAAGATGAATCCAATACTTCCATACACCTTGTACAAATATCCGAATGCTCCAAAGCACTGTACCGGCGGCATCGCGCACACACAGACGAGGGAAGAGGTTGTAACTCAACGTCAAATCTTCTTTCCAAAGACTTTGATTCATTTTCATTTACTGATTTTAACATAACTGAACCAACTTGTAGTATTTCTGTAAGTTGCGCTAAAGTACCTGGATCATCCACCACTAGAGGCTATAACATAAAATAATATTAAAATTAATATGAGAAGTTAAAAATAACAGGAAAGAGACACTGAATAGAAACCAACTCGTACCTTAAGCAGATCTATATCAATTGGAGAACCTCGTACAATAGCAGTGAAACCCCATGTGCTCTTTCCCTCAGAAAGCTTGTTAATAATGTTTTTTATTTCAAGAGCAGATTTGATGCTCCCATCAGAAAATGTGCTGTGCCATGTCTTGAAATATTGTAAGGAATTCTTGGACCGATATTCAAAAAAGCGTTTATCTGTAACAGTAGAATTGTCATTGTCCAAACAGTCTTTACTTTTGGTTAAAAGACACAAGAAATGTTTATTTGTCTTACCTGAATGTAGAGGATGGTACAGATATGCTTCTTCCACTAATAATGGAGCTATAGGAGCAATCACCTCCAATAAAGTTTCCAGCACATAATATATAACAGTCTGACATGCCCGTCGTCTTTCTGATTCTTTTTCATCACAGTATAGCCTGAAAATAATGTGGAAATGATTTAAATCTACTGGATAGCATATATTCAGATGTAGAAAAAAAAGTCAAACAAGTCACAGACAAAAATTATGAAGAAAACATACCTATCTTTGGTAAGAGTGAAGTACAAACTGGAAATATCATTGACAACAAAATTATTGATAGCTATGCATACATGATTGTAATGATGATTCAAATAGTGTTTCTTAACCTGTAGAAAATACAGAAAACAGAAATTTTATTTTAAAATAAGATGAAAATTATATACCGTGTGAGAGTGATGATACAAAAATTCAAGAGGAACTAGCACAACCAATAGAATACATATCAACTCACCACTCTTCTGAAATCAGTTAGAGCATGAAGCATGTATATATCCAACATGAACATTTTCTGGTCTGTTGTACTTTCTAGAAGTCGAGGAGGAAAATCATGGAGAGCTCCTAAGGCATATTTTATAGTGCCCCGTATCTTTTTAAGAGAATCTGATGATGACTTGATCAAACTAATACCTATTGGAATATTTGCATGCTGAATACTGTGAGCCGCTACCCACCACCTAAAACAAGTGGAAGACACTAAACATATGCAGGGAACAAATTTAGATTGCAAAATGCTAAGAACTGAATAATGATTTATAAACTTGCCTTAATGTATCAACACCAAAGGCTGGGTCCTTTTGAAGGTTTTTTCCTCCATTTGTTATTATGTGAGGATCTATGACATTCCCTAAAGACTTTGACATTTTTTGTCCATTTTCATCGACAACAAATCCATGTGTAAATATTTTCCTGAGTCAGACCATCAGAAACTTCAGATGAATTGGAGAGTATCAGCAAATAAATAAACCACAGTTATGTTTCTCTTACTGAAATGGGGCTTTTCCACACAGAGCCACAGAAGTTAGCAAAGATGACTGGAACCACCCTGTCAATTGGTCACTGCCTTCAAGGCACACATTTGCTGTACGACCTCCCAATACTGCAGACCATGACAGCCCACTATCAAACCAAATATCTAAGATATCATGACAACGGTCAACTTCAGATTGATCAATATTCATTTCAGTGGCTAGATGAGAGGGTAAAATTTCTTCAATTGGCAGCATCCACCAAAAGTCAGTACCATGCTTATCAATAAGGTCACAGTAATGCCCAATCAATTTCCTGTGATACACAAATGCAGACAGGATTACTCTGGAAATCATGTTTGAGTCAACAATAAGGCATTATTAATAACCTACTCTGAAACAATGGGATCTTTGCAATCTCTTTTAAAAAGAATGGGAATTGGAACTCCCCATGCTCTCTGTCTTGAAATGCACCAAAATGGTCTTTCTTTAACTAGCTTTTTTATAGCATGACTATGGCTGTCATCAGGAGCATAAGCTATGGTATTCAGCATTTCCTATTCATAAGAAAATCAATTTTGAAAATATTATTTAGTGCAGTAATTTCAACTTATACAGAATATGAATATCTTACCATAGCAGTATCTTTCACTGCAGAACAATCAAAAAACCACTGTTCACTTGCTAGTAAGAAAACTGGCTTATTAGTTCTCCAGTCGTATGGGTAACTATGCACCAGTTTTGAAGTATGAATGATATCGGTCTTCAACATTTCCTGGACTGCCTCTGCTCCATCCCCCATAATATTTTTTCCAACAAGGTCAGCTCCAGCCATTTCATCGTAATTTCCTTCCTTATCAACTAGTGATACCTGGGATTTAAATCCAAAGGTAAAGACAACTCAATTTACACTTTTAAAAAAGAAGAAATCGTTTCAGAAGATTTTAACTTAACCAACCAGTTTTAGCTTATTTTCAACAGCAACAATATAATCTTCACGTCCATGAGATGGAGCACAATGGACAAGTCCCGTGCCTTTCTCATCCGTGACATGATCTGCATGAAAAAAACGATGGACTTCTTCCTTATACAGAGGATGAATGTACGTGACCCTCTTCAAACTTTTTCCTTGAATGAGAGAGACCTTATCAGACATATTTACTCACAAAGTAAGATTAACAAATGGAAAAATCAAAAGATTAACTTACCAAGAATATTTTGCATGATTGTCACCTGCTTTGAAAGATTTGCCTCCAAATCAGGAACTAGTTTTGTGGCCACAATATAATGTCCATCAAAAGTTTCAATTTTGACTATACTGTACTCAATGTCTGATTTGTATGTAACTGCTTCATTTGCTGGCAAGGTCCATGGTGTTGTAGTCCACACCAATGCGTATAGAGGACCTTCTAGTTCCACATTAAATGGTTTTGTTAATAATTTCACTCGTAAGGTGACGCATGTGCTTACATGGTTTTCCTTGTACTGAAGTTCTGCTTCAGCTAATGCAGTTCTGAAAGTTTTTTTGTACGTATTTAGAGACAAAACAGATAAAAAGTGGTCATATGGTTTTAACACAGCACAACATACCTTGAGGAGGGAGACCAATAAATGGGTTTCATGTCTCTGTATACAAAACCCTGAGATAAAACAAATTCTTTTAGTATCAACCAAATTGTATTGTATTGTAATAAGTGCTGTCCAGAGTTTGTTCCCATTATTGTTGAAGGCAGTTAATAATTATGTTTGGGACTATATACTAAAGGGGAAAACCAACATACCTTTTCAAAAAGGGAATAAAAACTTTGTAATTGGTTTTTAACATAGCTCTTATCATATGTGAAATAACAGTTATTTTCCCAGTCTCCTAAAATTCCCCAAGAGCGAAATACATTCCTCTGTGTTTCAATAGCATCAGTTGCAAATTTACGAGCTAGAATAAAAAAATAATGGTAACACAGTGAATATTATCAAGACCATTAATTTTAAGTGATGGGTAGTGTACCTTTAAGTCGAATTTCTAGAGGTGACAGTGTGTCCTCAGACTTGGATGCTGACAAAGCTTTTAGTTCAATAGGTAGCCCATGACAGTCCCAGCCTGGTACAAAATGTATACGCTGTCCTTTAAGTAATTCATTGCGCATAATAATGTCCTTTAAAATCTGTTATAAAATGTTCCACAGAATAAAAATATTTGAAAAAATTATTTTTGAGCAGTGCACAAACTATTTAGTTAAGGGAAGAGCACTCTTACCTTATTGACTGCATGGCCCACATGAGGAGCACCGTTGGCGTATGGAGGACCATCATGAAGAACGAATTCTTCTTCAGTCAAATTCTCTCTTTGCCAGTTGTAAAGACTTGAGAAACCACATTTCTAAAACACAGAAGTTGATTATACGTGTGTATGGATCGTAGTAAGAAATGTATAAGTTGGTGATGCAGCCTCATGACATGACATCGATGGAACACTATTGTTTTCGTATATCTTACTTTCAAAATATCGGAGTCGTGTTTCGCCCTATGCCGAGAGTCTAACCAAAGGGGGAATTCTGTTTTAGGAAGTAGTAATGAATCCTTGTATTTAGGACCACTTTTCTTCGCGCCCGTTTCATCTTTGCTACTCAAAACACGAAAGAATAGTGTCACATTGATCTTTTTCTTCTGATATAAAGCTGTCGGAGAGAAAACATTCCGAATATTCGTAACATTGCATGTCAAGAGAGCGGACATATTTTTCTTTGGACCGGCGCCTTGTAAACACTTCTTCTAACAAGCTTCTTTAGACAAGACAATGCAACCAGCATTGGAAAAGTTAAAATCTATTTTCTATTATTTTGGCTAATAAGGGTGCCATCTTAGTAAGATAGAACGAAAATGAGTTCACTCTGCGCAATTCTGTGTGAAACCTTCAAATTTCGCAAAGAAGAACTATCGGAGTAGAAGCAAAGTTTTTGACAAACAACTTCCCGTTTTGACAGATACCGGTCTGGCTTGGTAGTCCGTCTGTCGCTCATGCGCAGTGTGCAAGAGAGACAAAGGTTTCCATTATTCTGTGTGCATTATGTTAGATTGAACAGCTGTGGTGTTTATGAATTTCGCTCCGGAAATTAATGGAATACGTTTGCGGGGTGCCATTGATGTTGGAAAATGTTTAGTGAATGTGGATACATCATATATTTACTTCTACTAATTCCCTACATTGAAAGTGGTGAGTTGGTTTCGTTTCTAAGTCAGCTCTAAACATTTATTTTTAGGCCTATGTTTTGTGATGGAACTAACACTATCCAACCGTATTGTGGATAATGTTTACATCTCCTTCTTAAGACTTTTTATGAGATAAAAGTTATTCCGTTTTCTGTGTAAATACCACTTTACACTCCCTCTATCGTAGTCGTCTGCTTGCTGGGTTGTTTGGAGGGTTCTAAGGAGAGGAATGTTGCTCCAGAAATATAGGTATATACCCACTGTGTTTTCTTCGATTTGTTTGTATTTTAATCCTTTCATTTCCTGAATAAAATTTAACTTTCTCTTTGATGTTCTGTGATATCTAATATTTGTATACTCGCATATTCATTGAAGCTCTTTGTGGCTTTCAGTTATAATTTTTGATATAAATAACCTAACCTAGAATTTCATTCAGTTTTTGTAACTCCATGAATTTGCCCAAGGTTGTGTTTATTTGAGCATTTGAGCCTGTTATGATCAATAGAAATTTAAAGAATGTACCTTTGTACATAAACTGTTGTACATGTATTTCACATTAAGGTGTAAACTAGATTCCTCTCCCCTTATGTTTGTGTCCTCTAAAATGAATGGGGTAAAAGTTTGTTGATATTTCATATTCCGACTGCTCCCAGCTTCAATTTCATTTTGCCCTTTCTCATTGAGACATGCTCTTAATATTATAAAGCGTAGTCTCTTTTATTGTTAGTCTCTTTACCACTCTTGAAAGATAAATGCTCCTAAAGTCAAACGTCTTTGAAAATTATTCAGTACTTTCATTACTTTGATGCTAAGTACCATAGAGCATAAAGCAACCACCAGTGACAGTATTTTTGACAAATCTATTGCAAAGTTGTTTTGAAATGGTTGGATATTTTGTTTTTTATCCCTGTTATTTCCCATTTGACCTGTTATACATGCATTTCATGGTGTTTCATAGCAAGTTTCTTTTAACGCAACAGTAACTAAGAATTGCAATCTGTACACACAGTTTCTGTAGATTTTTCTTGATGGTCTTGGACAAAATACAAAATAGGGTACCCTATTTCGTCCAAGTGATGGTTTTTGGGTATTCTAGAAGGGCCTTTTAATTTTGTTTTTGCAGAGTTGCTAGGGTTGTTTTAGACTGATTTCCTCCCATCATTTCAACGTTCCCTTTTTGGAAAACTCCAATTTTTTGCGGGGGGGGGGGCGCTAGTTCTTATTATTGCAAACGGTCGCGTTTTGCGACCCGTTAAGTATGGAAGTTCGACGGTAGTTGGGCGCAGGAAGTCGGAAGCGCAAGGCCGATCTGACTACGTCCGGTGTGTCCTGCATGGAGCGGTCCGTGCCGGTCGAAAGGTCTGCGCCGCGCTCCGCTCCGCTCAGGTCACTGACACCTATGACACCGGCGCTCGTGCTGCAGGTGCGGCGGGCGCGCGGGGAGCCCGACGTTAGAGCTTTGACGAGAATTTGAGGAATGTGGTGTGGTGCACATGCCTCAGCCTCTCCGGGCGAGGGGGGGGGGGGGCACCAACTCCCCTCCCCTGCTGGTTGACGAGTTCGTCTAACCACGCTTGCGGCTGGCGCTTTGACTGGTCGAGGGATAATTGTCACTCTCATTATGGTACCCAGCGAGGATTTTTTGGTGTCGCCATATTTGAGTCTTGTCACTCTAAGGAAGTAGGATATCCCTGACTTCGCCCGATTGCAGTGAGGGCCGTAAGTTATGACTCAAACAGAGTGAGAAAAATAGTCTTGCCCTCAGCAGGGGAGCGGTATTTTTCGGGTCACTGATCTTGCCAGCCTAGCGAGATATCTGACGCCAGCATACCAGGTGGCTGATTCACGCCGCGCAATTTCGTAGTTATACTGTACCGCATGTACCGGGTGCGGCAGGGTTGCCGACTCGCACGGGGCCATAAGGACCCGTGGGCAGCGTGGAAGCGTGGATGGGCAAACCCACCCGCACCCCTGGATGCGGTACAGTATAACTACGAAAGTGCGCGGCGTGAATCAGCCACCTGGTATTTACAGTGAACGGAACGCACTTCGTCTGAAAGTGACAAGTTGGTCAGGGGGTGGTTTCCCGCAGTTTCATTCTGGCACTATTTTTCTGTTTGGACGAAGCCTCTTTGAACTTGACCTTGAATGAGGACCCGACTGGCACCGGACATTCACACGGCGACCAGTCCCCCCCCCCCCCCTTGTCCTTATCCGCTGAGTGAAAGTGTTGATGCTCATGCCCGGCTCGTGCTCGGCGGGGTGGGGCTGCTCTTATCGCAGCGTGCGCCCCGGATATCCAGCAACGTCGAAAACATTCAGATTACTATGAATAATTCTCTGCTCAAGGATGTGGAGCAGGACGGCCGGGG